GTGTAGTTGCAACCTTCAACTGTATGTGTAATTTTTTCATTCACCTCAGTATACAGCATAAATCAGTGATTTACAATGAGGTTCACGTTTCAAGAACATGTTGGACGGAATGTCATGGTACAAGTTAAATCATGTCTAATATTTGAAGAAATTGTAGTGTCCATTTTCTCTCGAAGTTTGCAAAACAGCTGTTTTTTTCTGGTCACATAACTTTCGTCTTGTGTAACATCCAAAGTAATTCTTAGAAATGCTTCTCGGTGTAACTACTGCTTTAAATACTTGATATATATATTAATTTTATAGTTAAGCAGCCAGAATGAGGTTTTTCATGAAGTTATAATCACTGTTTACAGACATGTTTCCTATTTTCAGGTTCATTCTCACACAAAATACACAAATTTTTATCTATTTTCATCTGTTGTAGTTCCGCTTGGGTGTATACTATTTGATGAATAAATATGATAATATTACAAATTGAGCAACATGGTTTCTTTTTTGCATGGTGAGTAAGGTATTCGGTCCTGGGTTTGGTCGTGACCCGGGTTTGACTTGAAAGTGTTCAGCCGATGTAAGATTAAGCCGAAATACGGAAAAATCGTGCTCACTCCCTCCCTTGGGGTTGTATGTGATACGGATGGTGTTGCTCATGCTATCATTCACTGATTTGGGCAATACCTACTGACACCAGTAACACTGATTACACTTCACTCACTCACTGCACGCATGAACACAATCACTCACTCATTCATGGCAACGTCCCCCCATGTGTCCCTGAATGAAAGACTTCTATCACTGGTTTGTCTGCTTTTAATGTCTGACCAGGCTGCCAGGTTGTGTTTCACCAGACCGAAGGATTCTACACTGGTGGTCAGTGCTACACTTATGGCGATGCCGGTGTATGACACGGGTATGAGGGTGAGTGTGTAGTAGTGGGTTGGTGCTTCTACTCTGGTGGTGAGTGCTACACTTATGGCGATGCCGGTGTATGACATGGGTATGAGGGTGAGTGTGTAGTAGTGGGTTGGTGCTTCTACGCTTGTGGTCAGTGCTACACTTATGGCGATGCCGGTGTATGACACGGGTATGAGGGTGAGTGTGTAGTAGTGGGTTGGTGCTTCTACTCTGGTGGTGAGTGCTACACTTATGGCGATACCGGTGTATGACACGGGTATGAGGGTGAGTGTGTAGTAGTGGGTTGGTGCTTCTACTCTGGTGGTGAGTGCTACACTAATGGCGATGCCGGTGTATGACACGGGTATGAGGGTGAGTGTGTAGTAGTGGGTGGGTGCTTCTACTCTGGTGGTCAGTGCTACACTAATGGCGATGCCGGTGTATGACACGGGTATGAGGGTGAGTGTGTAGTAGTGGGTTGGTGCTTCTACTCTGGTGGTGAGTGCTACACTTATGGCGATGCCATTGTATGACACGGGTATGAGGGTGAGTGTGTAGTAGTGGGTTGGTGCTTCTACTCTGGTGGTCAGTGCTAAACTTATGGCGATGCCATTGTATGACACAGGTATGAGGGTGAGTGTGTAGAAGTGGGTTGGTGCTTCTACTCTGGTGGTCAGTGCTACACTTACGGCGATGCCGGTGTATGACACGGGTATGAGGGTGAGTGTGTAGTAGTGGGTTGGTGCTTCTACTCTGGTGGTGAGTGCTACACTTATGGCGATGCCGGTGTATGACATGGGTATGAGGGTGAGTGTGTAGTAGTGGGTTGGTGCTTCTACGCTTGTGGTCAGTGCTACACTAATGGAGGTGCCGGTGTATGACTAGGGTATGAGGGTGCGTGTGAAGTAGTGGGTTGGTGCTTCTATTCTGGTGGTGAGTGCTACATTTATGGCGGTGCCGATGTATGACACGGGTATGAGGGTGCGTGTGTAGTAGTGGGTTGGTGCTTCTACTCTTGTGGTCAGTGCTACACTTATGGCGATGCGGGTGTATGACACGGGTATGAGGGTGCGTGTGTAGTAGTGGGTTGGTGCTTCTACTCTGGTGGTCAGTGCTACACTAATGGCGATGCCGGTGTATGACATGGGTATGAGGGTGAGTGTGTAGTAGTGGGTGGGTGCTTCTACTCTGGTGGTCAGTGCTACACTAATGGAGGTGCCGGTGTATGACACGGGTATGAGGGTGAGTGTGTTGTAGTTGGTTGAGGCTTCTACAGTTTTTGCAGGCTGTTTCATTGGAAACACCTTGTTATATTTCATTTCGCAGTATGGCACTGCATGAAAAGGATTTGGTATGCCAATCAGGGAAATTGGCTCGGGTTAAGAGTTGTGACACGGTCAACATTGTGATCTTGTACAGTGAAGTTAGTTTACAATAAAGTGTACTTTGCAATCCATTGCCACATCACAACGTTTGTGTACTACTGCAACCAACTAAGGTCTCAGGAATTCCTTCTGGCGTTGAAATTAACCCCTTTTTGCTTACATACAATTTGGTTAAACTAAGAATGTGCCTGTGCTCCTATGAAACATGTCTTGCCAGACATTTATTGTACCACCACAGACAATTGTGTGTGAAATACATCCTGTTAAGATTGAAAAAATAAATCCTTTGTCTACAAGTGAGAATTCCGAGTATCTCTCGGGCAAGGAAACGCCAATTTACCACCCCGTTTGATAAGTCAACAATTAACAGCTCAGATGCAACTGAGGAGCATGAGGCTAAAATTGAAAAGGTGTTTGCTGAGCATGCTGATGTCTTTTCCTCTGGTGATACTGCATCAACGGTTCCTCACCATCACCACCACCATCACCATCACCACCTTCATCACCACCACCATCACCACCTTCATCACCATCACCATCACCATCACCACCACCATCACCATCACCATCACCACCACCACCACCACCACCATCACCATCACCATCACCATCACCACCATCACCATCACCATCACCATCTTCATCACCATCACCATCACCACCACCATCACCATCACCATCACCACCACCACCACCATCACCATCACCATCACCATCACCACCACCATCACCATCACCACCACCATCACCATCACCACCATCATCACCATCACCATCACCACCTTCATCACCATCACCACCACCACCACCATCACCATCACCACCACCACCACCATCACCATCATCATCACCATCACCACCACCATCACCATCACCACCTTCATCACCATCACCATCACCATCACCACCACCATCACCATCACCATCACCATCACCACCTTCATCACCATCACCACCACCATCACCATCACCATCACCACCATCACCATCAACATGATCACCATCACCATCACCATCACCATCACCACCTTCATCACCATCACCATCACCACCTTCATCACCATCCATGTAGGCAGAGACATAGGCGTATACCATCGGGACTTGATGATGAGGTCAAAGAACAAATCAACTGTAAGCTTCTGGTGTGATTCGGGCGTCATTTAGCCTTAGGGCTTCGAACATGGTTTTAGTTCGCAAAAGAGACTCTCCCCATACAGTTTGTGTGTATTATTATCTTTGTATCGTCAGACAGTTCGAGAATCTTATGCGCTCCTGAGAGTGGAGGAAATCCTTGATTGTGTAGTAGGGTCTCAGGTCAACAGTATCCTTGAAATGAAATCTGGATATCATCAGATTGGAGTTGATGAAAGTCATAAACGTTTCACAGATTTCACAGCAGGACCTTCAGGGTTCCATGAATTTAACAGGCTCACATTTGATTTAGTTAATGTTCCTGCTACGTACCAAATGGAAATTGAACAGATTTGTAGTGATCTCCATTTTTAAATCCGTATGATATATTTAGATGATCTGATAGACTTTGCATGGAGGAACACTCATCACGACTTAGACTCGTTTTCCAATGTTCGAGGGAAAGTGAATTGAAACTTGTTCCCAAGAAATGTAGTCGACTCCAGGATGAGGTGAAATATGTTGGTCATATTATTTTTCAGAAGAAATACCGGTTGATCCAGACAAAGTTGAAAAGATACTTAACTGGCCTGCTCCAAAGGACAGTGATGAACTGAAGAGTTGTCTCGGTTATTACCAAGAATTTGTTCCAAAGTTTGCTGGCATTGCTAAGCCCCTTACTAATCTCTTATCAACAACAGCTCGGTGAAAGAAAGCAAGAGAGAAAGTTCTTGTAGAAAGGTGACAAAGTTGCAATGGGGTCCTGATCAAAGCTTTGCTCTTGATAAGCTGAAATTGGTTCTCACATCATCACCAGTTTGGGGGTATCCAGACTGTTCTGAACCTTTTGAATTGCACACTGATGCTTGTAGAAATGGTTTAGGAGCAGTTCTAAAACAACGGCTAAATGGAAGTCTAAAAGTGATATCCTTTGCCAGTCGGAGTCTGAATAAAGTAAAACAAAACTATCCAGCCTATTAGTTCGAATTTCTCGCCCTGAAATGGTCCGTTACAGACATAAGCCTTGACTATCTATATTGACACCAGTTTACAGTCATGACTAACAACAAACCCTTGACTTATGCTTTGACATCAGCCCGATTAGATGCTACCAGACATCGTTGGCTGACCTCATTGGCAACATACAACTTTGATCTTAAATACAGATCAGGTGTGCCCTATGCAGATGCACACGTTATATCCAGATTACCAAACAGTTTGTGAAGATGTTGGTCCGCCGCCACGTCTGGGACATTCTGGCATGCATGGGCATAGACAAGGGATTGGAAAGAGTAACAGAGTCAAGATAACATTCAAGTGGCACCAATTCTGTAAAGCTTCAGGCAAGGTTTCATTTCAGTGTTCACGATTGTATTCCTGAGCGAATCCATTCTGACGAGGTAGCACATTTTTATGGGAGATTGATAAAGGAATTATGCTATTTGCTTGGAACCACCGTCTATCATCCCTAAGGAAATGGGATGTGGAATGGTTCATCACAATTTAGACTTTAGACATGTTGGGTACACTTGAACCAGATAAGAAAGCAGATTGGAAACCTGATTTTTCTCCTCTGGTTCATGCTTACAACAGAACTCGCCATGAGTCGACGAAGGAGTCTCCTTTCCCCTACTCTGTGGAAGGCAACAGCAGCAGCCTGTTGATTTGGAGTATTGTTGGGAAAGAGATGCTGGACAAAAGCTGACCTCCTATGTTGAATCCATGAGAAAGAAACTGAATGATGCGTATAACTTGGCATCAGCTTTATCCAGACATGCTAGAACCAAACAGAAACGGCATTTTGATCCCAAAACTAGAGGCACAGTCCTAAAAGGTGGAATTCTTGTGAAAATACCAGCATTCGATGGGAAACACAAAATATCAGATCAATGGGATAATGATCTTCATAATGTTATAGGGCAGGCTAATTCTCTGGTACCTGTTTTTACATAATTACCTGTCCATTATAATTAAGGATGGAAAGGACCAGCTACATGGGAAGGAATAGTGCAACGTATGTTTTTGTTTGTTTTTAACGCCGCACTTATTCCAGATATATGACGGTGGTCTGTAACTAATCGAGTCTGGACAAGAAAATCAAATGATTGACATCATGAGCTTCGAATCACATGTGTCAACATGCATGTCAGCTAGTCTGACCTTCCCATCTCCTTAGTCGCCTCTTACGACACGCATGGGTTGCTGAAGACGTATTCTCCACTCGGATATTCAGGGGTCGAAAAGTATGGCAGTAAGAGACGGGAGTAAGGGCTACAGTGATGGTAGAGACGGGAGTACGGGTAACAGTGATGGTAGAGAGGGAAGTACGGGTAACAGTGATGGTAGAGACGGGAGTACGGGTTACTGTGATGGGAGAGACGAGAGTACGGGTTACTGTGATGGTAGAGACGGGAGTACGGTTACAGTGATGGTAGAGTCGGGAGTACGGGTAACAGTGATGGTAGAGACGGGAGTACGGGTAACAGTGATGGTAGAGACGAGAGTACGGGTTACTGTGATGGTAGAGACGGGAGTACGGGTTACAGTGATGGTAGAGTCGGGAGTACGGGTAACAGTGATGGTGGAGACGGGAGTACGGGTAACAGTGATGGTAGAGACGAGAGTACGGGTTACTGTGATGGTAGAGACGGGAGTACGGGTTACAGTGATGGTAGAGACGGGAGTACGGGTTACAGTGATGGTGAAGACGGGAGTACGGGTTACAGTGATGGGAGAGACGGGAGTACGGGTTACAGTGATGGTAGAGACGGGAGTACGGGTTACAGTGATGGGAGAGACGGGAGTACGGGTTACAGTGATGGTGAAGACGGGAGTACGGGTAACAGTGATGGTAGAGACGGGAGTACGGGTAACAGTGATGGTAGAGACGAGAGTACGGGTAACTGTGATGGTAGAGACGGGAGTACGGGTTACAGTGATGGGAGAGACGGGAGTACGGGTTACAGTGATGGTAGAGACAGGAGTACGGGTAACAGTGATGGTAGAGTCGGGAGTACGGGTAACAGTGATTGTAGAGACGGGAGTACGGGTAACTGTGATGGTAGAGACAGGAGTACGGGTAACTGTGATGGTAGAGACGGGAGTACGGGTTACAGTGATGGGAGAGACGGGAGTACGGGTAACAGTGATGGTAGAGACGGGAGTATGGGTTACAGTGATGGTAGAGACGGGAGTATGGGTTACAGTGATAGTACAGACGGGAGAAAGGGTAACAGTGATGGTAGAGACGGGAGTACGGGTAACAGTGATGTGAGTAAGGGTAACTGTGATGGTAGAGACGGAAGTACGGGTAACAGTGATGGTAGAGACGGGAGTACGGGTTACTGTGATCATGGACGGGAGTACGGTTAACAGTGATGGGAGAGACGGGAGTACGGGTAACAGTGATGGTAGAGACGGGAGTATAGGTAACAGTGATGGTGGAGACCTGAGTACGGGTTACAGCAATGGTAGAGACGGGAGTACAGGTTGCAGTGATGGTAGAGATGGGAGTACGGGTAACAGTGATGGTGGAGACGGGAACATGGGTAACAATGATGGGAGAGACGGGAGTACGGGTAACAGTGATGGTAGAGTCGGGAGTATGGGTTACAGTGATGGTAGAGACGGGAGTATGGGTTACAGTGATAGTACAGACGGGAGAAAGGGTAACAGTGATGGTAGAGACGGGAGTACGGGTAACAGTGATGTGAGTAAGGGTAACTGTGATGGTAGAGACGGAAGTACGGGTAACAGTGATGGTAGAGACGGGAGTACGGGTTACTGTGATCATGGACGGGAGTACGGTTAACAGTGATGGGAGAGACGGGAGTACGGGTAACAGTGATGGTAGAGACGGGAGTATAGGTAACAGTGATGGTGGAGACCTGAGTACGGGTTACAGCAATGGTAGAGACGGGAGTACAGGTTGCAGTGATGGTAGAGATGGGAGTACGGGTAACAGTGATGGTGGAGACGGGAACATGGGTAACAATGATGGGAGAGACGGGAGTACGGGTAACAGTGATGGGAGAGACGGGAGTATAGGTAACAGCGATGGTAGAGGCGGGAGTACGGGTAACAGTGATGGTGGAGACGGGTGTACGGGTAACAGTGATTGTAGAGACGGGAGTACGGGTAACAGTGATGGTAGAGACGGGTGTACGGGTTACTGTGATGGGAGAGACAGGATTAAATGCAATCCATCTGCCTGAACCAGGATGTAAGAGGCAGTGATCTGACCTCGACCCTATGGCCTAAGAGGGAAATAGCGTGTTTGTACGAATGTGTCTTGCTTGTTCACATATCACGAATCTGCCTTAACTGTTACTTCTTTACACATTTCTCAGAGATGGAGTGAAGGAGTAGAATAATCCGCCCTTTAAGTGGTTCGAGATGCATATTCACGATTTTATAAACTAAAATATGAAAAAGGGTAAAATGGAGGGCACAATTCTCGAACACATTTGAGTTCATGACCCGTAATCTAAGTCTGTACAATATCATTTCTCTGATTTAAATAGCCTAGAGAAAATTGTCCCCTTTGAGAACGGACGGACGCTGAAATCGCTGCATCACCTCCCTCGGGGTTTAACTGACCATGCCAAAGGTTAAAACATCGGATTCTTGTCGGTATGTTTTTTATCGGGCGTAGCAGTTATTCATATATTTGGCAAAACACCCACAGTACATTCCCTCATGATGTACATAGACAAATATTATTAAAACTCTTATATGTTAATTTATCTAAACAAACTTTGAATGTTACAGACTGAACGGATTTTGAAAAGCCTCATACCAGTTATATAAAAACAAATATTATTTGATAATGAATAAGGCTCAATACCATGAGTACTGGCTTGCCAACTTTGACTAATACACAACCACTTCACGAAGCACAAATGTACAAAATCGAAAAACTGTTAAGATATTTTATAAAATATGCGAATTTTTGTCATTGGATCTTTTTTTTAAATATCATAACCCATTTCCGAAATGGTCAGTTAACACCATATCTTTCAAAGATCTCATGCCTGAAAAAACCCCTTGAAACTGAAGGATTTATGAAGATACATGTACAACGATAATGACAGTCCTAAACCTACACGGTGTAGTGCATACACACTATTCTGGTGTCTACAGAATGGACACTATGACATGTTATGAGACCAAAACAAGTATGCATAACTTACTTACTGTTGGATAGTTAACGTGCGCTTTCCTACATGAGAGGAAAGGCCCGTTTTATATCTGGTGCTAATAGAAAGCTAATAGAGCTGGTACCCCTATTCGTTACACGGATTTGTATTCATTTCTCACCGCTTCATGTTAAGCTACACTGAGCTACGTCCCACGACTGGAAAAAGACTCGTACTTTGCATTGGCAAAAGTATAAGCCTATCTGCCTGAGCTTGCGTCGCGTATCACCTGGAGAACCAGTTTTTGCCTTGCCGTCGGGTGGCGCTGGTGTTACTTAGCGAGGCATGCTAGCGCTGCGGTGGAGCACAGGAGTCTGTATCTAAAAATAGACGCCCTAATGCATATTCATGACCATCTCCACACGCGAGCCCGAGCTCGCGTGTGGAGATGGTCATGAATATGCATGAGGGCGTCTTTTTTTAGATACAGACTCCTGTGGGTTGAGCTTGCTTCTGCTATCCTACACGACTGTGAGGAGCTTATAAACAGTTATATTTAGCACGGGTTTTTCCTGCTTCCTTGCAGAGGGTCTTGACTCTGGTTTCGTCCACACATTTCTCCTTCATACAACACAGTAAGAAAGTGTCCACGGTGTTAAGCTTGTTTGTATACCTCATTGTATCACTCTTCAATGTCTTGTTGAATTTGAGAACGAATGGGACAGTGTGTATTCTGACATAAGACTCCAACTCGGCGTAGATGACTGAACTAAAACGAAACGAAACGAAACTAGTTTCAGTATTCTTGTTTATTACAGAATGACGAATAACAGCAAATTATATATATAAAGGTCCAGTACTTGGACTGTTCTGAAGCATTGTTTTGTAAACAATAGTCGATAACCCCTGAACTTACTCGGGTGTACTTGGCTTATTCCGCGAGAGGAGTTTCTGCTCCAGTGGTCACATCGATCACCCGGCGCGTGTAGGCTTATATCATCAAACTTTTGTTTGAAAGCAAACGCACTTATTCTGAAATAAGAACAACCGGGTCAATGCAAGCCTTACGTATTGTTTTACATAATTATATAGACATCCTACAACCGCAACACTGCCAACTCCCCGACGCGCCCGTGATCGCATCTCGTTTTATGTTTGCTCGTTTTCAAACAACAAAACAACAAAAAGGACCCCTGTGAGTGTTATAAAGCAATGTAGCCGATTGTTAGACAATGATTGTAACTGTATTACATTGTTTTTGTTGAGATTCAGTAGAAGGTCATTGCTTTGTATTTTGACAATGTTTAGTTGTCTGGAATGATATATTATGTATTCTAAGTAGTGGTGTTGAAGTTCTTATATTTAGATGCTCGAATTATCTGTAAAATTCCGAAATAGGATGGATGTCAAGTGTTATCGAAACATGTAGAATATTATGTGATGTTCTAGTGACACTGGACTTGTCAAGCACTGTGTGGAATGTGCTGGAAGCTAGTTATATCACACATTATCTGACATTACATCAAGACCAGTTTCCATATGAACATCACTTTTCACCCTTGTGTTCAGCCTGAGCCTATCTCGGAAGCTTGATCACTGTTGCAGATAGGGGTACGTTATTATCACCACCATCATATTTTGCATTGATACTGATATTGAATATTGTACTACTACTCTATTGCATACTGTCATTGTAATTGCTGTGCAGTATTTTGTATTGGTTTGTAAACTTAGCAGTCAACTGACATGTACTAAGGAGAGATCAGATAAAAATCATTGCAATCTGTCTTTCTTTTATTAGATTGTCACTGGTCGCAGTCGGAGAAATCACAGCTAAGGGAATCAACCCAGGATATTATGTAATATTGTTCACGTGGTTACGAGAATGGCCAGTTGTGAATGTCTGCGCATCTATTGCACATCTGCAGCGGCACAGGGAGGTTAACAGCAGGGTGTCGGGGTGTATCAGTTACATGCCAGACCGTAGCGCTGATGGTTTATGATAAACTGTTGAGAGCGCGGTCCCTCTATTTTCCGGTCTCCCGATAAATTGATAAAAGCATGTGTTACTATTTGTTTTGACTACAAAAATTGAGTGTTACATGCCGGACTGTAGGGCTGATGGCGGTGCAGGTGGTCACGTGACACGTGTTGTTAAGACGATGGCTATAACTCGTACAGTTGGTCGACGAGAAATTTGTATTCTGTTATAACGCGACGATCGGGAATCAAAACAGTGGAAAGAACAAGGGAAGAGTGGCGATAGCTGATAGGTGACCAATATGGTTTAGATGACAGCACATCCATGGAGGATAAATATGCAAATGAAAATAATATTGAACGTTTTGGGATATATTCTTAATGAAATTGGAACAGTTCATGATATATCTTTTTCTAAATCTGTAGACTCATCCAAAATGAAACAAATGAATGGAAAACAGGTGAATGGACTGTGTAGGATGTGACAGAGCTACTAGGCTGGCCGCATCGAACTCTGGGTTGAAGAATGATTGCTTCATACAAAAGAGGCATTTATGTTGTAATCTACGCCTCGCTATGCACTGGCCTCTAGTCTAATTGAGCTTGCAATAAGTATTTTAAAACTGATCTGTAAGAAAAAACGCGAGATTTTTCTTCAATTTGCCTCTAATAAAAAACATGACTGAAGCAAGTACATTCGGTTTGTTGGGTTCGCTTTGGAGATCTCGAGAAGTAAATCATTCAACTGAATGTGAGAGGGCATACTCAGAAATGATATCATGCATGATTTCAAAACACAAATAACCGTCGACGTGTTTAAGGATGGATTTCTTTCACTCACAAAGATCGCCTCATGTTGTAAAGAGTGTACAAAGTTTCATTTTGCCATCGTCTCACACCACAGAGCTCGTATTACGGTAGACACAAGTGAGCTGCCAACGCCCAAACGGACTAGATTAAGTTGTGACAAAACACCTGATTCCTTATACAACCTTTCAATATCATCAAAATGAGGTTATGTTATGGCTGGCGTCCATCATCCGACCGTTGGCACTGAACTTGAAAACTCATCTTCTGTTATCTAGGTATGACAGGGATAGAACATCATAGGGTTTTGTCACGTGTTTGTTAACTTTGTTGCCCCCGGGTCAAGTTTCACAAAGCTATCTTAGCCCAACGACTGTCGTAAGTCTATGTTAATGTATGGGAGCTACGATTTTCGCGCTCCGACTATCGTAAGGCTATCGTAATGTATTGGAGCTACGATTTTCGCGCTCTGACTACAGTAAGTCTATCTTAATGTATAGGGGCTACGATTTTTCTCACTCCGACTCTCGTAAGGCTATTGTTATGTATTGGAGCTACGATTTTCGCGCTCTGACTACAGTAAGTCTATCTTAATGTATGGGGGCTACGATTTTTCTCACTCCGTCTATCGTCAGGCTATCGTAATGTATTGGAGCTACGATCGCCAGAATTCTAAAGGTAGGCCCAACTTTCATGTTTCAGTGTGAGGACATTGTTGCATCAAAGATACCGGTACTCCTGCAACATTTGCATACAGGAACTTACATAACATTAATGAACCTTTTAAATCAAGTAACGATTAATGCTTATTTTATAATCAACTGGTGAAGTTTTAACATGTAGACCCTTGTTCTTTGCGGGGAGTTTGTTTTGACAGTAAACCTTGTTTCTCCTTGATTAATATGACATGTAAACATGAAATGTATTTCTGAAACAACACCTCACGAAATATAATGATGACATGTTTATAAACTGAATCCTACAGTCACAAGGGGTACAACGCTGTGTAAGCCTTAATATATTGCTTCATATGCTTTTCTGAAATTCAAGTGTGCTTTAATATGTTGTGTCTATGGCGTCCAACGGCGCCTCCATCTGCCTCTGTGGGATCTTTTAAACACGACGGAGGCTATTTGGAGAAATGCTTTTTATGGTAGTTACGTGGTCATTATCTAAATGTAATGAAATCTGGTAAATGTGTAGTAAATGGGGTTCAACATATGTGCTCCTTTTTACCTTGATTTTACCTTCGCACTTCGACAATACTGAAAGGTAACATTGACTTGACTCCTTATCCAGGTGTGCTACAGTGCTGTAGCGGAAAATGTAGGACTGACCTGCAGACAGACGTTGTACACATTAGGCGATTTTGTTGTAGGATGATGATGACGAGTTTGGTGCCAACTTAGATTGAAGACCCTCATGAAAGACAGGAAGTAGTAAAGAATCTTCAAAGATAGAGATTAGAACGATATATTCACTGGTTGAATATGGCCGAGATGGAGAAAGGTCAAAGTGACACAGATAGTGAAGAATGTACACCAGCAAATTGCAGGAGGAAAAGCAATGATGAGGACAACCCGCCTGGAACCACTGATGGATCAGGCAGTACTTCGGAGGATGCAGGAAATAAAGATGTTGATGAAGAGAGTGCTGACGAATGTTTGTTTGGTGACATGACAGATGAAGAAGAGGGAGATAAAATCGAAGATATGTATCAACTTGGAGCATGTGCTACAAAGGTCAAATTCCAGACTGTTCAACAACAGTCGTACCAACTTGTAGGTAAAGGTATGTATGCTTACAGGAAGTAAGGCTAGGTAATGATGCCCTCTTGACAGCAACAAGTTCGAGTTTTTCCTCGGTCACTTGGCTCCTGTTGTTTCAGAAAGATCCAACACAAGTTACAAAACGAGCCAATGCAAAATAAAAGAAAGCAGTGCATTTCAGGCTATTTATTTATGCTCATATCATCTTCCCGAGGCAAGGGAGCAAGCTAAGTCCAGCTGCCACCCTTGCCGAACTAGACTGGAATAATGGAGTTATATTTTGGCTGGACTGGCACAGTCTAATTAAATACGCATAACGAAATTGATATGCAGTTCGTAAACAACACTGATTTCAACGTGCACATTTTTGACAAGTGCATGATGTGTACCGTCAACTGGGCGTCGACAGATATTTTCCAAATCTTTTGAAGTTTTTAATCAAGGTGTTCACTTGATTTGGTGATTTGATGCACTTCGCGAGGCAAGGCCCATTTTATTTCAATATATCTTGTTCACTGATCAGAACTGGTGCAGCCATTTTGTTCGAAGCAAATGCAAGTGATATGAGAATCTGATTGGTCAATAGGAGGGTCATAGAAGGGACATAACTCGTATTAGCCACTGGTGGCCCTAAGATTGAGCACAGTAATCGTAGCCCAGTACTGCAAGGTTGGAAACTGGACTTTAGAGTCAGTTAACTCCCTTTCCTCGGGAAGATGTACTCATACATGTGATATAACACTAATAGGCTGAAGTGGCATTAAATTATTTCGTCATAATTCAGGTGAGCCACAGAGCATTGTGGCTATACTGCCTCACAATAATGGAAACACAATATGAATAGCCATGTCAAGTAATCATCTTAATCAAAATCCATAGTTGACTCCCAGTCGCTCTTGCCATAATGTCATCGGAAGTTAAACTATGAATTGATCACATTTCTTTTAAAAAACTGTCCTCTAAATTTTCATTGCGATCCAACTGTAATCATCGCCAATTAGGAAACAACCAAAACAGTGTTTTATTGCAACATGCTAAGATACAAAGATGTCGGTCAGAACAGGCCATTGGCTGAGTAACCATAAGGTTTTCCTGAAACTAATCCGAATGGATAATAGCCATGTTTGTTCCCATCATAGACACCACGGCACAACACATTGTGGGATGTTGTCAGCAACCACAGGGAGAAATAGCGTCAACATCACAGCAGGGGACACAACTCCAGCAAGCTTCAGCTGCTGGTGTTGATCAGACAACAAGTCAGGCACAGTTGTCAACAACTACGTCTTGTGTAGTCCCCGAAACAACTGTTGTACAAGTCCCGAGAACAGCAGCACTGACACCAGCGTCCACATCCTCTCTTCTACCCAGAATACCAGGATCTGTTGTATCAGAGATACAGTCATCAGGGCTACCTGGGGTACCAGTGCCTGTGGATTCTCCCGCAGGTGAGCGCTGTTACATGATACACACACATGACTAAAGGTTCAGATATCTAATACTTACAATAGGATAATTACAAATGACGCTTTTTAGCGAATATCCTGTGGCATCTATGCCTACATTTTTGGGCAGGGTGTCTGTAACCGTATACAGCCTCAATACAATCTCACCCGGACTGATCAGAGAGTTGTAAGCTCTGCTCTATTTCAGGTTAGCCATTTTAGAAAACGTAATGAGACCTTTAATGGAAATATAATGACTAATATGAAGTAGTATGCCTCTCTTCATGATCGTTGTCTATAGAGATATCTAGGTTCAAATATAGAGACATCTGTGAGGGCTTCAGTCCCAGTTTCTGTTTCAGTTGTCCAGTACAACAATTTCTACGTACGGCAGAATTTTGAGGATGTGACAGTCAGGGGCGCCAGGAATCTGAACTTTGGCGGAACCCAGAACATTAGAGGAACACAGAACGATTGTGCACCTCGGACCAACCAGGAAGAGGAGAAACAACTGACTGCAGCACAGAAGATCAGGAGTGAGTTAATTATCTACTTACTTTCGTAAACTGTCTGATCTCGTTTAGAACAATAACTTACACAGAAATGAGAAATGCTGTGAGAAAACATGTTTCAGTTTGATGGATAATATTTTTAATATTTTGTGTTCGCAGGGCACGTGTCAACATAAGGATGCTCAGAGTCAAACCTTATTTGATGATGGCTACAATATGTTCCTTTAACTGAGAATAAATTATCTTAAAAATAAGATTGTTAACTTTAACATAGATTTTTTAATATAGTCAATTATAAAATTGTTTTACAGAAAGAACAGAATCCAGGATACAGTTATGGACTAAAGACATGGTGGAGACAGAAGGCCTGCAGAAGGTGACAGACAAGCTAGACAGAGGAGCAACATGGGTGACAATTAAAGGAAGACCAGGAGAGGGGAAGTCTACAATAGCCTACATGGCTCTCAAAGATCAGCACACTCAGGGGAGACAAGTGTATCAGGTGGTGTCACCGGAGGAGTTCAATGAGGTCATAACGGCCAGCACTAACCCTGTCATTATGTTAGATGACATATTTGGTGATCTGGAATTTGATGTAGCAGAATGGGCCAAGTGGAGACCAAGTCTACAACCTTTTGTGGATGTGAAAGATCCTGATAAATATACAGAAAAAGATTCCATAGACAAGTCCACTAATATTGAAAATGCTTCAAAGCGAACAAAAGATGAGCAAACAGAGCTGAAAAGAACGGCGCCTAACAAAGACCAAACTATCATTATCCTCGTAGGCCGTGATTATGTGTTGAAATCCTCATTGTCAGACTTGGGAAAGATGGCAGATTACATATCTAGTCCCCTGTATGTGGTGGAAGTTTCTTCTCTGAGAGACTCTTGTGAACGAAGGAAGATTTGGCATGTTCATGTCAAAACAAAGACAAAGATGGACTTTGATGAGTCAACTGTGTCTCAGATATGTCAGGCGGACTGTCCACACGGCTTTCCCCATATATGTAAAATGTTTGTCGCAACATATGGAAAGGATCAGACGCAACCTTCAGCAGAGACTATTTTAGATTTTTTAAAAATGCCTCTTGTGTTCCTCAGAAAGACTTTGTATAAATTTCTTAAGGATAAGATAAAGCGTTCACTGTTCATGGCTATGATTAAAAGAGATGGGAAGGTTAGTGGACAGGAGTTGGAGGAGGATGATAATCTTGCGTATGAAAGCATAACAGCTGCTGATGATTTGGTTGGATCTTATCTCAAGAAGGAAGATGACACATACATGTTTGACCATCCCTCTATATATGACAGTGTTGCTTTAATACTCAGTACAAAACAATCAAAGTTTGTCATCGAAAGTTGTAGTTTGTCATTCATCCATCAGCGACTTCGTATTAAACCATCCACAAGACAAGGGGAAAATGTTCCTAGTGAGACAGGTCTTGTTGCAAATATCTCATGGACCTTTGCTGGACATTTAGCCAGAAGATTTGCAACTGAAATTGAGAGACGCAATTTGTTGCATGTCTTATCGCACCAGGCATGTTGTAATTCAGAGTTTATTGACTTGCTCATGGACTGTCTGAAGACAAACTGTCACATGTCTGTTCCTGATCTTCTGAAACTAGTTGATAATTCTTCAAGACAATACGTTATAAGAGACGAGTCACATTCATTTTTGAAATTGCTTTCAAGCAACAAGTCACATCATCTAATCAAATTTATTATGGAGAAAGAAAACATATCATTCAGCCAAAGTGAAATGCGTGACATTTTACTTGGGGTGTGCAAGAATGCTGCTTGTAGTGTATTGACCTACATCAGTGAACACATGAAGCTTGACATGGATGCTAGATATGGTCGGCTTAATGTAACTCCGATCATGTTAGCAGCAGAAACCAAAAACAGTGAGTTTGTCGATCAGATTCTGGCCCTTGCCCCTGACCTGAATGCATGCAATAAACTAGGAGATACTGTCTTTCATTACCTTTGCAAGTATGGCCTTACATCAGCCGTGGAAAAAGCAATTAACACGGGTGTGGATGTCAATGTGCATCGTGTAAATGGTGACCCTTTGTACCTTGCCATACAAAATGGTCACTTAGGGGTGGTGAAACTGCTGGTGAAAACAGGATTTGATCTGGATAACCAGAAAGGTCTTAGATTTGCTTCTATGAGCCAGAACAAGGACATGCTAGACTTTCTTTTAGACAGAGGAGCACAGGTTGATGGTGATGTTGTAAACAGTGCTTGTGAGGTGGGGAACTTGACTATGGTCAAAATGTTATTTGAGAAGGGTGCTACTGTTGACATGATGTCATCTAATGGAGAAACTCCTCTTCACAGCTCATGTAGACGACAGTCAGATGTTATGTCATTTCTGCTGGCGAAAGGAGCAAGTGTGAATCAACTTTCATCTGATACAGGTGACTCACCACTTCATATAGCAGCATATGAGGGACATACAGTGTGTGTCAATGTCTTACTGAAGGCCGAGGCTGATGTGAATGTACAGAATAATACAGGTGACACACCACTTCATACAGCAGCAGATGAATTCTTTAGATCTACAGAGTGTGTTGAAGAGTTACTGAAGGCAGGGGCTGATATGAATGTACAGAACAATACAGGTGACACGCCACTTCATAATGCAGCAGTGTGGGGATCTACAGAGAATGTTGAAGAATTACTGAAGGCCGGGGCTGATGTGAATGTACAGAATACTACAGGTGACACGCCACTTCATAATGCAGTAGTGAGGGAATCTACAGAGAATGTTGAAGAGTTACTGAAGGCCGGGGCTGATGTGAATGTACAGAATACTACAGGTGACACGCCACTTCATAATGCAGTAGTGAGGGATTGTACAGAGAATGTTGAAGAATTACTGAAGGCCGGGGCTGATGTGAATGTACAGAATAATACAGGTGACACACCACTTCATGCAGCAGCATTGTTTGGATCTACAGAGAATGTTGAAGAGTTACTGAAGGCCGGGGCTGATGTGAATGTACAGAATACTACAGGTGACACGCCACTTCATAATGCAGTAGTGAGGGAATCTACAGAGAATGTTGAAGAGTTACTGAAGGCCGGGGCTGATGTGAATGTACCGAATACTACAGGTGACACGCCACTTCATAATGCAGTAGTGATGGAATCTACAGAGAATGTTGAAGAGTTACTGAAGGCCGGGGCTGATGTGAATGTACAGAATACTACAGGTGACACGGAACCTCATAATGCAGCAGTAAGGGAATCTACAAACTGTGTTGAAGCGTTACTGAAGGCCGGGGCTGATGTGAATGTACAGAATACTACAGGTGACACGCCACTTCATGCAGCAGCAGCAGCAGCAGGGTGGGGAACTGCAGAGTTTGTTGAAGAGTTACTGAAGGCTGGGGCTGATGTGAATGTACGGAATAATAGAGGTGACACGCCACTTCATGCAGCAGCAGCAGAAGAAGGGTGGGGATCTGGGGAGTCTGTTGAAGTGTTACTGAAGGCCGGGGTTAATGTGAATGTACAGAATAATACAGGTGACACGCCACTTCATGCAGCAGCAGCAGCAGCAGCATGGTGGGGATCTGCAGACTATGTTGAAATGTTACTGTTGTCCGGGGCTGATGTGAATGTACTGAATAATACAGGTGACACACCACTTCATGCAGCAGCAGCAGGAGCAGGGTGGGGATCTACAGAGGGTGTTGAAGGGTTACTGATTGCCGGGGCTGATGTGAATGTACAGAATAATACAGGTGACACGCCACTTCATAAAGCAGCAGTGAGGGGATCTACAGATTGTATTGATGTATTACTGAAGGCTGGAGCTGATGTGAATATACAGAATAATACAGGTGACACACCACTTCAAAAGCAGCAGTGAGGGGATCTACAGATGTACTTCAACATGTTCGTCTAGCTTCTATAGACTCCCTGATGTAATGTACAGAATATAGTGTGAATGTAGTGTAGTTGCAACCTTCAACATGTTCGTCTAGCTTCTACAGACTCCCTGGTATAATGTACAGAATATATTGTAAAAGTAGTGTAGTTGCAGCCTTCAACATGTTCGTCTAGCTTCTAAAGACTCCCTGGTCTAATGTACAGACAATAGTGTGAATGTAGTGTAGTTGCAGCCTTCAACATGTTCGTCTAGCTTCTATAGACTCCCGGGTGTAATGTACAGAATATAGTGTGAATGTAGTGTAGTTGCAACCTTCAACAAGTTCGTCTAGCTGATAGACTCTCGGGTGTAATGTACAGAATATAGTGTGAATGTAGTGCAGTTGCAACCTTCAAAATGTCCGTCTAGCTTCTATAGACTCCCTGATGTAATATAGAGGAATATAGTGTGAATGTAGTGTAGTTTCAACCTTCAACATGTTCGTCTAGCTTCTATAGACTCCCTGGTGTAATGTACAGAATATAGTGTGAATGTAGTGTAGTTGAAACCTTCAACATGTTCTTCTAGCTTCTATAGACTCCCTGGTGTAATGTACAGAATATAGAGTGAATGTAGTGTAGTTGCAACCTTCAACCTGTTCGTCTAGCTTCTATAGACTCCCTAGTGTAAAGTAGGGAATATAGTGTGAATGTAGTGTAGTTGCAACCTTCAACATGTTCGTCTAGCTTCTATAGACTCCCTGGTGTAATGTACAGAATATAGTGTGAATGTAGTGTAGTTGAAACCTTCAACATGTTCGTCTAGCTTCTATAGACTCCCTGATGTAATATAGAGGAATATAGTGTGAATGTAGTGTAGTTGAAACCTTCAACATGTTCTTCTAGCTGCTATAGACTCCCGGGTGTAATGTAAAGAATATAGTGTGAATGTAGTGTAGTTGCAACCTTCAACATGTTCGTGTAGCTTCTATAGACTCCCTTGTGTAATGTACAGAATTTAGTGTGAATGTAATGAAGTTGCAACCTTCAACATGCTTGTCTAGCTTCTATAGGCTCCAGGGTGTAATGTACAGACTATAGTGTGAATGTAGTGTTGTTGCAACCTTCAACATGCTCGACTAGCTTCTATAGACTCCCTGGTGTAATGTCCAGACTATAGTGTGAATGGAGTGTAGTTGCAACCTTCAACATGTTCGACTAGCTTCTATAGACTCCCTGATGTAATGTACAGACTATTGTGTGAATGTAGTGTAGTTGCAACCTTCAACAAGCTCGTGTAGCTTCTATAGACTCCCTGGTGTAATGTACAGACTATAGTGTGAATGTAGTGTAGTCGCAACCTTCAAGATGTTCGTCTAGCTTCCATAGGATCCCTTGTGTAATGTACAGAATATAGTGTGAATGTAGTGTAGTTGCAACCTTCAACATGTTCGTCTAGCTTCTACAGACTCCCTGGTATAATGTACAGAATATATTGTAAAAGTAGTGTAGTTGCAGCCTTCAACATGTTCGTCTAGCTTCTAAAGACTCCCTGGTGTAATGTACAGACAATAGTGTGAATGTAGTGTAGTTGCAGCCTTCAACATGTTCGTCTAGCTTCTATAGACTCCCGGGTGTAATGTACAGAATATAGTGTGAATGTAGTGTAGTTGCAACCTTCAACAAGTTCGTCTAGCTGATAGACTCTCGGGTGTAATGTACAGAATATAGTGTGAATGTAGTGCAGTTGCAACCTTCAAAATGTCCGTCTAGCTTCTATAGACTCCCTGATGTAATATAGAGGAATATAGTGTGAATGTAGTGTAGTTTCAACCTTCAACATGTTCGTCTAGCTTCTATAGACTCCCTGGTGTAATGTACAGAATATAGTGTGAATGTAGTGTAGTTGAAACCTTCAACATGTTCTTCTAGCTTCTATAGACTCCCTGGTGTAATGTACAGAATATAGAGTGAATGTAGTGTAGTTGCAACCTTCAACCTGTTCGTCTAGCTTCTATAGACTCCCTAGTGTAAAGTAGGGAATATAGTGTGAATGTAGTGTAGTTGCAACCTTCAACATGTTCGTCTAGCTTCTATAGACTCCCTGGTGTAATGTACAGAATATAGTGTGAATGTAGTGTAGTTGAAACCTTTAACATGTTCGTCTAGCTTCTATAGACTCCCTGATGTAATATAGAGGAATATAGTGTGAATGTAGTGTAGTTGAAACCTTCAACATGTTCTTCTAGCTGCTATAGACTCCCGGGTGTAATGTAAAGAATATAGTGTGAATGTAGTGTAGTTGCAACCTTCAACATGTTCGTGTAGCTTCTATAGACTCCCTTGTGTAATGTACAGAATTTAGTGTGAATGTAATGAAGTTGCAACCTTCAACATGCTTGTCTAGCTTCTATAGGCTCCAGGGTGTAATGTACAGACTATAGTGTGAATGTAGTGTTGTTGCAACCTTCAACATGCTCGACTAGCTTCTATAGACTCCCTGGTGTAATGTCCAGACTATAGTGTGAATGTAGTGTAGTTGCAACCTTCAACATGTTCGACTAGCTTCTATAGACTCCCTGATGTAATGTACAGACTATTGTGTGAATGTAGTGTAGTTGCAACCTTCAACAAGCTCGTGTAGCTTCTATAGACTCCCTGGTGTAATGTACAGACTATAGTGTGAATGTAGTGTAGTTGCAACCTTCAACATGCTCGTCTAGCTTCTATTGACTCCCTGGTGTAATGTACAGAATATAGTGTGAATGTAGTGTAGTTGCAACCTTCAACATGTTCGTCTAGCTTCTAGAGACTCCCTGGTGTAATGTACAGACTATAGTGTGAATGTAGTGTAGTTGCAACCTTCAACATGCTCGTCTAGCTTCCATAGACTCCCTGGTGTAATGTACAGACTATAGTGTGAATGTAGTGTAGTTGCAACCTTCAAGATGTTCGTCTAGCTTCTATAGACTCCCGGGTGTAATGTACAGAATATAGTGTGAATGTCGTGTAGTTGCAACCTTCAAGATGTTCGTCTAGCTTCTATAGACTCCCGGGTGTAATGTACAGACTATAGTGTGAATGTAGTGTAGTTGCAACCTTCAACATGTTCGTCTAGTTTCTATAGACTCCCGGGTGTAATGTACAGACTATAGTGTGAATGTAGTGTAGTTGCAACCTTCAACATGTTCGTCTAGCTTCCATAGACTCCCTGGTGTAATGTACAGAATATAGTGTGAATGTCGTGTAGTTGCAACCTTCAACATGTCCGTCTAGCTGCTATAAACTCCTTGGTGTAATGTACAGACTATAGTTTGAATGTAGTGTAGTCGCAACCTTCAAGATGTTCGTCTAGCTTCCATAGGATCCCTTGTGTAATGTACAGAATATACTGTGAATGTAGTGTAGTTGCAACCTTCAACATGTTCGTCTAGCTTGTATAAACGCCCTGGTGTAATGTACAGAATATAGTGTGAATGTAGTGTAGATGCAACCTTCAACATGTTCGACTAGCTTCTATAGACTCCCTGGTGTAATGTACAGAATATAGTGTGAATGTAGTGTAGTTGCAACCTTCAACATGTTCGTCTATCTTCTATAGACTCCCTGATGTAATGTACAGACTATAGTGTGAATGTAGTGTAGTTGCAACCTTCAACATGTTCGTCTAGCTGCTATAGACTCCCGGGTGTAATGTAGAGAATATAGTGTGAATGTAGTGTAGTTGCAACCTTCAACATGTCCGTTTAGCTTCTTTTGACTCCCTGGTGTAATGTTCAGAATATAGTGTGAATGTAGTGTAGTTGCAACCTTCAACATGTTCATCTAGCTTCTATAGACTCCCTGGTGTAATGTGCAGAATATAGTGTGAATGTAGTGTAGTTGCAACCTTCAACATGTTTGTCTAGCTTCTATAGACTCCCGGGTGTAATGTGCAGAATATAGTGTGAATGTAGTGTAGTTACAACCTTCAACATGCTCGACTAGCTTCTATGGACTTCCTGATGTAATGTACAGAATATAGTGTGAATGTAGTGTAGTTGCAACCTTGAACATGTTCGTCTAGCTTACTGACACTTTGGTGTAATGTACAGAATATAGTGTGAATGTCGTGTAGTTGCAACCTTCAACATGTTCGTCTACCTGCTATAGACTCCCTGATGTAATGTACAGACTATAGTGTGAATGAAGTGTAGTTGCAACCTTCAACATGTTCGTCTAGTTTCTATAGACTCCCTGGTGTAATGTACAGACTATAGTGTGAATGTAGTGTAGTTGCAACCTTCAACATGTCCCTCTAGCTGCTATAGACTCCCTGATGTAATGTACAGACTATAGTGAATGTAGTGAGTTGTAACCGTCAACATGTTCGTCTAGCTTCTATAGACTCCCTGGTGTAATTTACAGAATATAGTGTGAATGTAGTGTAGTTGCAACCTTCAACATGTCCGTCTAGCTGCTATAGACTCCCTGATGTAATGTACAGACTATAGTGTGAATGTAGTGTAGTCGCAACCTTCAACATGTTCTTCTAGCTGCTATAGACTCCCTGATGTAATGTACAGAACATTGTGTGAATGTCGTGTAGTTGCAACCTTCAACATGTTCGTCTAGTTTCTACAGACTCCCTGGTGTAATGTACAGACTATAGTGTGAATGTAGTGTAGTTGCAACCTTCAACATTTTCGTCTAGCTTCTATAGACTCCCTGGTGTAATGTACAGACTATAGTGTGAATGTAGTGTAGTTGCAACCTTCAAGATGTTCGTCTAGCTGCTATAGATTCCCTGGTGTAATGTACAGAATACAGTGTGAATGTAGTGTAGTTGCAACCTTCAACACACACACGCACGCAAGCACGCATGGACGCACGCACGCACGCACACACACACACACACACACTGTGATATTGGTAGCAGACCGTCCTATTTTATAATTTCATGGGACGAGGGTGCAACGTGGTTTTGTTTGACGGAACTTGATTTATCATTCAACATACACCTGGTGCAAGTTAAATCAAGTTTCTAAAATCAATGCGAAAACTTATACACATTTTTATGTGTAATTTTTTCATTCATCTCAGTATACAGCATAAATCATAAAATGAGGTTCACGTTTCAAGAACATGTTGGACTGAATGTCATGGTACAAGTTAAATCATTTCTAATATTTGAAGAAATTGTAGTGTCCATTTTCCCTCGAAGTTTGCAAAACAGCTGTTTTTTCTGGTCACATAACTTTCTACTTGTGTAACATCCAAAGTAATTTTTAGAAATGCTTATCGGTGTAACTACTGCTTTAAATACTTGGTATATATTAATTTTATAGTTAAACAGCCAGAACGAGGTTTTTCATGAAGTTATAATCACTGTTTACAGACATGTTTCTTATTTTCAGGTTCATTCTCACACAAAATACACAAATTTTTATCTATTTTCATCTGTTGTAGTTCCGCTTGGGTGTATACTATTTGATGAATAAATATGATAATA